GAACTACGCTTGAAATGAACTTATCTGGATGTTTATTTTGTTTTTTTTTATCTTATGTTTTATATCTATGTTTATTTTATCTTCACCCAGTTCTCCAAATGATATTTCTATCACCACTACCACAATCCCTATGCCTCCGCCTATTTTTTAACAAATATAAACATTTAATTCTGTACTATCATTCACTTCACTAGGAGTTAATATAAATATTACTTTATCCGATTCTCTGAGAAACTTTCATGAATATTTAGAGGAATGTTCAAACTTGAATGTACAGTACGGCAATTTTATCAACTTTATTAATGGAAAAATATGCAGTAGTTCTGTCGTGGCCTTTAAAACAATACTTACGACCATTTTATGGTTGAGTTAACATTGTCGTTCATGATTCTATTTTAGAAGGGGATACCAATGCTGCATTGACAGAAATATCGTCTTGCGTGTTCAAACTTGAATGTACAGTACGCCCAATTTCATCAACTTTATTAATGGAAAAATATGCAGTAGTTCTGTCGTGGCCTTTATAACAATACTTACGACAGTTTTATGGTTGAGTTAACATTGTCGTTCATGATTCTATGTTAGAGGGGGATACCAATGCTGACATTGACAGAAATATCGTTTTGCGTTCTTCTTTTACCAGTATCTCAAGGCATAGGCATATCATCTTTATCAGGACGTAATGTGTTTTGTACACTGCTTTGTTAATCCGTTATTACTTTCATCTACAACCCTAAATGATATAAAATTATACATTAATTATTTCCTCTCCAGACGACCACCCAGATTTATTTTGTCACTTTTCCATCAAAAATTAAAATGTCAACAAGGATTTGCTCTTAATTTTATCAAATACATAATAAATATTCCTCATTATTTTTTAAAAAATTATCCTAAATTTATATGTCAATAAAAAAAAATATCTTAAAAATTATATAAATAATTTGCATATAAGTTTCATTAGTGTTTAATGGCATTTTTGTAATTTAAATAGACAGCATTTTTTTTTACTTAACATAAAAAAATAAATATCCCTTATCAAATTCTTTGACAAATATTTTAGAAATGCAAGAAATACATTAAATTTATCTGAAAACAACAATAACCTTATATAATAAACAATATATTTTTTAGAGAAAATTTTAATTGATCATATTACAAAAAAGTATAAGAGTCTGTTATTTTAATTTTATTTGTCATGGTTCTCTAATAAGTGGTTGCCCAGGCCATCCCAGTTTCCCTTAATAGGGAATTTAAATGTTTTTTTTTCCATATTAGACTAATTGGTAAATGAGATATTTTCCGTTCATGTGATGATATTAAAAATTTAACTATCTCCTTGGCGGGAAAAAATTTTCAAAATTATAATGGGTAGGACTGGGCTCGGAACCTCAAAATTAATATTAGCTTGCACCTGACTTGGGAATACCTTTTACAAATTATTTAAGGTTGAGCTGGGCTTGATAAACTTTTTTAAAATTATAAGATCTTGGATGCTTCCTAATATCATGAGCTTGAACCTGGCATGACATCTATCGTAAAAAATGAATAAAAATCTCATTCCACGTCATTTTTGACAGGCTTTCTACTAGTTATATTTATAAAAGCAGGCAAATTTCCGAGAATGATTGCAGGTCTCGCCTAGGCTTATAAATATTTGATTTAACTTAATTTATTTCACACGCATAGAAGATCAGATCAGAAGGAGCTTTTATCATGAGATATAATTCAAGGCAGAGCGGTAAAGTAAAATTATTATAAAAAATATATCTAATTAAATATTAAATCATATTATTATCTATTATATATAATATATAATTCATCTCTATAAAATACTTTAAGTTTAATTAAATTGAGTTATAAAAAAATAAAAGTTTAAAATAAGTTGAGGCCGTTCATCATTGTTCTAAATTTTGAACATTATTCTATAAGGTCATAATAAATGTTCCAAATAAAGTTTCCCTTATAGTTATTAAGTATACACTAGGAAACCGGAATTTCAGGATTTCTCTTTGCACATTAGTCAAGAAATTCGCTAATTATAATAAGGTTTTGGTTTATTTATAACTAACAAAAATGTTCATTTAAATTTTATATCGTGACCCTTATAAGAAATTTAATGATATCTTATAGTAATAGCCTTTAAGAGGCACATATATAAATATTAAATAAATGAAATGAGTTTAAATGTTAATTTATAAAAATTTGGACCTTGTTAATTTATGTAAATTTAGCATTTTTTTGGATATATTTTCTTAAAAATAAAAATATAAAAAATGAAAAATGTTATTGAAATCTAGTTTCGCATCTAATATTTATACAATATGCTTTTTAGATATCGAAAAATTAAATGATCATAATATCAAAACAGAATATATAAAACAAATAAGAAATAATTTTCATAAATTTATTGATCTAACTAACAACCTGTCCTATGAAACGCTATGGGGAAATACCCGCGATATTTTCATCAAAGTGGCATCAAATTCCTTACCAACCAAAATGAATTATCTGGACTGGATTTTAATAGAATCTAAAAATCTTATTTCAAATCTAGTGGGGAGCGGCCATTATAGGAGAAACAGAGCTATGTATATCCTAAACGATATAAGTCATAAACTCAGAAGAGATAAAAGGAAATCTCTTGATGATCGTGCCACAGAGATAAGTAATTCGTTTAATGCAAATGATTCATATAAAGCTTTCAAATTATTGAAGTCCTTTACATCTTTCAAAAAAGAGCAATTTTTTAAACTTAGTCACAACTAAAAGAAATTACAGATCCAGAGATACAATTGAAAATATGGGTTTCACATTACTCTAAGGTCTTTAATAGTAATGAACCCTCATCTGCATCAAATAACCTAATAGCAATATCTCCCATCGACCAAAATCCATCTACTTCAAGCTTCTGGCCTCCGAATCAGTTACACCTTGGGCTTTCTCAATTCCTTCCCGATCAAAGTTCTTTATCTCAAATCTCTTGTCTAACACATCAAATAACTTAATATCAGCATCTCCCACTGACCAAAATCCATCTACCTCAAGCTTCTGGCCTCCTCAGGAGCAATTACACCTGGGCCCCACTCAATGCCTTTCCGATCAAAGTTCTTCTTCCTATAATCTCTCGCCGTCAAAATTGTTATATTTACCAAACCAAGGTCCTTTCTCCGTTCACCATGGTCCATCTTCTTCGAACCTCTGGCCACCGTAATTAATTCTTGCACAAGATAATATTACTCATAATACTACATCTTCATCTACACATTTTTCCCTCTCTACCTTATTCCCAAATACAAATAGAATCTTAGATCCTACTAAGAGTGAAATAATTAGTATAATAAAGAAACTAAAAAATCACAAGGCATGTGGACAATGTAATATTCGTAGCGAATATTTAAAAACTGACCCTACATTATCCGCCGAAATTCTTTTCCCAATCATAATGAGAAGGAACCTGCCCTAGTGATTGGCTAACGGCTGTCCTAATTAATTTCCCAAAAACTAAGCATCCTAAAGATCTAGAGGATTGGAGAGGAACTTCACTGAATTCTATAATCTATAAGATTTTTACTACCATTATCCTAAATCGCCTCAAACCTTTTGTGGAACGAGATTATAGGGATTCAATAGTTTCATTTAGGAAGGGACATAATACACTTGAAGTTATTCTCAATCTAAAAATACAAATAGATAAATCTATTATACAGAAAAGGTAATCAATAATTATAGCTCTTGATTTTAGGAAAGCTTTTGATACGATTATCCATGACAGTTTATGGAAAGCTTTAGAAGAAGTTAATACGCCAACTTCTTTGGTAAAATTATTAAAAAATATCTATAATGATTACTCGATCCAAATTATCCATGCAGGTCATAAATCATCAAAAATTCCAGTTAAGATAGGTCTGAAACAGGAATGTGTCCTTTCTCCTCTTCTTTTTAATTTAATTACAAATTATATCATAAAGAGCGTGACTAAACAATGCGTGGTTCGGATATCTATAGCGAAATTATTCTTGCATTTGCTGATGATCTTTGCATTATGGGAGATTTTGTATCAAACCTTCAATTGCTAGTGGATATGGTTATCCAAGCTGCTGGTTTTTTTGGTTTAAAAAGCATTGCTCTTTTTATTACCCCTTTGGATGAGTCATCGCTCAAACCTTTCCTATCCTATAAAAATAGTTGGTTTGGGAGATTAAATCGATCATTATCGGAAATAGGTTTATCTTGAGAATTCATACAACGTGCTTCTTCTGATAGGAAAACTTACAAAATTGTACTAAGACTTATCTATGAACATTTGACGAATAACTGCTGAGAATATACCTGAAAGGCTATTGTGTGGAAAGGAAGTGTAAAGGAAGTCATTTATTCTAAATAAACAAGTCAAGAAGAGTAAGATAAATTTATTATATTATTTAAAAATGCTATTTCATATATTGTTTTGATCTATATCTAAGAGTAGAATTTAATTTGATTAGGGTTATAGTAAATGAAGGCGGATTAAAGTATTTCAAGTTGTAAGAAAATTATAAATAGGTTAACCATTACACTATGAGAATCAACGTACAAATAGGTTAAATAGGTATATTTAACTAAATAATTATAAAAACCAAAATAATTTTTATATCTTCTAACTAATTAATTGGAAAGAAATAATCTATTAACTAAATGAAATAAAATAATCCTATTAAAGATCTTTGCTCAAGAATCAACATTAAAAAATAATTTTTATCATAACAAAACAACTAATAATTTGTATTTGATGATACAGTACCTCTTTTTTTCAGTTCTCGATTTCTCAAAAATACTCATAATTATTCCTTATGCTAATATTATTATTGGATTGAACGAGTTCCACACCTTTAAGAATTATATCTGAGTTACAAGGTTTGTTGGTAACCTTGAGGAAAAAAATCGGCATAATTATTATGGAGGATAGGGTATCTATAGTAATTTACGTTCGCTCATTTTAGGCAGGTCCATGACCAACGTGCTAGATAAGATAAGAGAAGAAAGTTACAAATTCAACCTGAAGAACCATGGCTGATCCTCTGACTTTATTAAAGCAATACAATATAAACAACAAGCTAGAGGATATACAGGAACACGATGATAAAATTATATTTGGAGATTTGGCATGGGCGAAGAATGTTAATACTAACTATATCTTATGGGGGTTAAATATATATATATATTTCTTTTTTTACAAAGTATTTAGTACTGGAAAAGACGGTATACCTAAGGAGTATTATTCACTAGAATGTGTTTTATTCTTGTTAAAAAATATTAAAAAGGCACATCCTAAATATGTTAAAGATGCTGCTGTAAATTTAGTTCTATAATTCCTTACAATATAATCTATTTATAGAAAGAAAATATACCTGTAGTACGGCGTCCTGATAGAAGAGTATGTTAATAATATATTAAAATTTTATAATTTACAATAGGAATTATTAGCTTATCTTAATGCTGAAATAACCACTTCTAATAGTATAGATAGAAGTGCACCTTTGGAGTTACCAGCACAAGGTATCTATATACACAAATTTATAAATAATGAAATTTGTTTATTAGTTAAAAAGACAACTGATGAAGTCAATGAAAATTTTAAAAAGACAAAGTTTGAGGTTAGCAAATTTTATTCTTTTTGATACATGTATATCATAAATAAAGGAGGAAAGACTTTTGAAGGATAAAGAAAGATTATCAGCTTGGTTAGATGCCCCTAAGGAAACTCAGATAACAACTGAAAATATAAGGTTATTGTTCTAAAAGTGTTATGTTTTATTAATAATTTTAGATCATTATCTGATGCAATGTCAGTTGAAAAGATTGCCCAAATAAAAGCTAAACGTCTTGCAAAAAAACGTTCTACCATAAAGGGTAGTTTAGGAGAAATGGGAAACAATATATCTTTAGATATGTCTCAAGATCATGGCAAGGGTGATTCAGGAGATAAATCTAAAGCTCAATTAAAAGACAATTTAATTAACAGTGATAGGACTTTAGAAAACATGATAGACAAGGATAATGACTTGAATGCTAACCAAAATTTTTCTCACATTGCCAATTCTAAGTTAAGGACCAAAAGTGCTAATTTTGTTGATTCAGAATTAGATTTCACACGCTATATTATGAGCAGGGAAAGATTGTGGAAAACAAGAGACAATATTTTACAAAGTGCTGGCAAGGTAATGTTATATTCTACCAATATAAATACTAAAAGCATTTTTTAGATTTTTTCTCAGCACATATTTGCTCTCCTTCAATCAATTAAAACAAATGAACAAATTGATATAAGTAAACCTGATGTAGTTAAAGTAATGATAAATAATATATATTTACCAGTGTTATTAAAACTTGAGTTTGGGCCTATATTTATAATTAACTTATATTTTATAATTCCAGTTTAATACTGATTTTAACATTCATTTATTAATTTTGCAAGCTTTATAAGGTTTAAAAAAATTTAATTGCAGCTTTTTAGAAGTATAAATAAATAATGAGGCTTAGTATAATTGTATTATACACTCAAACTTTGTATTATGTATGTGTCCAAAGTCTGACTCAAGCCTTGGGGTCAGGTGGCTCAGGTTTGTCTGTAATAAGCAGCCAGGCCCAGGGCCAAAAATTAAATATTTGAAAAATCTTAAATAATCAAATTGTTTCATTGAAATGTCAATCAGAATTACATGTCATTTTTCATCTTACACATTAAACTTATTACATAATTTCCATTTCCCAGATCATTAATTAAAAGTGAATAAATACATATATTTTTTATTTTTGCTTAGATATTATAATATTTAAACTCAAATTCTAAAAAATTCTTAGCTGGGCTGGAACAAAAAATTTAGGTTAGGCTTAGCCACAAATTTTTTTAAAATTTGGATTTGGGTTAGTCTTCAAAAGAATCACTTTGCATGGCTCTACATGTAATACATAGTAATGATGCATTGTATCAGATAGTGTTGTTAAACTGCGCAATATGAGGCAATTTTTAAAAATGGATAACTCACTATTTTATCCGAAACATATTAGCAAGCCTTAAGATTTTGCTCATAAATGGTACAAAGATATGGACATCTATTCATGAAATCTTGTAGCTTTGGAAATATTTCTGACTAAAATATTGAGGAAGCTATTTTTAAAAATTGGCTAAAATTGAGCCTTTTAACAACTTGTATCAGACATGCATTTTTATGTGTTTTTAGTATCTGAGCATAATTTCTGGCATTCATTTTTTCTGAAATTAACTTTTTGCAGGCTAAGAAATTGTAAGATTAAAAAAAATTGTGGGTTAGAGTTTTAATATTTGAAGTTTTTCATTATATGATCAGCACAGATTTTTTGTTTTATAATTTTCTATTTTATTTGGCCAAAAACTTTTACTAGCCTTGGGTTTTTTGAAAATATACCTCAACTTTGAAGCCTCATTGCTTAGTAGATTTTCACTGGCAAGCACATTTAGATTAAGCCAATTTTTAACCATTACATGCTGGTATAAGTAATTATTCCTTAGTTTCTTTCTGATTTTTGAATAATGTATTGATTGTCCTAAATTTTCCTAACAATTCCAATCATGGCTTCTGGTGAGCTTAGCTTTTTAAAACTAGTTAATCAAGATCTACCTGAGATCTTACATGGTTCAGGATTGGCTTTTTGGCTTACCCTTGATTTTAATTGAGAAATGCACAATATAATTTTACAAACCAAAAAAAACAAGGGTATAATTTGTTTGAGTTAGTATATGCTCTATTTAAATTTTTTCTATATTTTCTAATCACTCATATGTAAAAAAAACAAACATGTATATCGTTTTTTTTGTCAAATACTGTCCTTTTCAGTTGAAACTATATAACTCTAAATCTATATAATAATAAAATAACGATTGGTAAACTAAAAATATTAATGTATTCACAAAAATCTAGGCATTGCCATTATAAAAATAAAATTTGATAACTATTTAATGCTATTGCAATATTCTACTCTTGTTAAATTATAACCAAATTTGTATTTGTTCATGATTCGGAATTATTATAATAGATACTCAGCGTTCATAATGATGTTAATTCACACTAGAGGTCAGTGCAGCCTGAAGTTCGAAAGCCCCCCCCCCCCCACTTATATTTTTAGTCTGGGCTGAGCAACTTATACAAATTATATTTTATCAATCTAAAATTTTATTGAGCCAGTGCAGATTTAGCAAGCCAGTGGTGACCTCTAATCCATACATGTTAACAAGATGATTCTTGACTATATCCTGCTTGTAAGATCTCTAACATATTCGTTTGCCTACAATTAAATTGGTATATTTGCCATTTCCCAAAATCTATTAGACTATTTTTATTTATTTTTTTATCAAGCTTTCTGAAGTTATTTTGATGATACTTCTACATTTTTGGTTTCATATTATAAATTTTTTTATAAATAAATATTATTTTTGAGAAATTTTGTTACTTTTATTTATTTATTACTATTCTAAATATTTTGTCAAGTTCAAATTTTAATGAGTGGGTTCATTACAATTTTGTAGAATTGTTTTAGAAGTTGAGAGATAAAATTAAACTGTTTAAATAAAGGATAATGATATATCCTCTTATATAGTATTTCTCATGGGATTATGAATGATTTGAACGATGCTTATTTATTACTAGTCACAATTCATGTTTGATCGAAAAATCCATATCGCCAAATATCGGATATCAATATCACCGAAAGATGTGGATTGATGCAACCTAATTTTAAATATTTCAGAAACATGCAGAGATATCATTTGCCCTGACCGATTTTTAAAAAAAATATATATTACATTTATTTTTAATTTATATATCTAATAATGGCGATTTATAATATTCAATTTTAAAATATACGGCCTGGCTCAGGTATTTTTTTTAAAAAAAAATTATAAACCTGGCCCGTGAATATTAAAAAAAATTAAAATACGGCCTGGCCAGTGCACTCATGTCTGGTCTGCAGGCCTCTGACATATTTAATATAACATTTTATATATTCAGATCATTCCATGTCACAATTCCGATGAAAACTTGCATTAAGATTCTCGTAAAGTTAATGATTGATAATCAGTAAAAAAACTAAAAAGCTAAATTTTTGTTATACAGGCATCTTATATTCATGAGGGACGTCAATTTTTTCATATGGTTTATTATCTGCTTGCCTAATGTTTCCTTTTATAATGTGTGCCCCCCTATGGATTTCAAAAAATATAAGGAAAAGTCACATTTTTTACTCTTCTTACCCTAGTATAACTGATATTCTAACATTTTACTTAATAAAAATTACAATCTTTTCATCTTAAAATTTGGTACCCATCCTCTAATATATATGTCATCTTGGCATATCATAATCTATTGGACTGAATCTCTTAATTTTAAATCATTTATAAATTCTATAAATCTTGACTGGCAATGTTACAACATGTATAGAATACTCATCTGTGAATTTCAGACAGTTTTGTCTAGAACTGTTTAGATATTATTAATTTATTTTTATACAAATTAAAAATACACAAAATTTAATGAAAAATGGTCTGAAATTCATAGGATAGTTATTACTTATGCTGAAATACATTTCACGCCAAATCAGACTTTCCAAATTTTTACTCTCAATAAATGATATAAAATTAAGAGATCCCAGCCTCATGGATTCCATATCCCAATAAGGCATATATAATCAATGACAAACAAAAACGATGAAAATATTTTTATTTCTTTCGCTATAGACTATTTGCCAAAAATATTTTAAAGTAATACGTTTGCATGATTTTCTTACACCCAAATTTCTGCAAAATTAGTTAAACTCTGATCTTCACGGATTTAGGGTTGCCCGATTTTTCAAATATGGATTACTGATCCAGATATTTTTTCTAGAATTTGCATTCAATCTGATTTTATTTATTTATTCAAAGATTACATAATTTATGACATAGGATAGGAATCTTTATCACTAAATGTAATTTTAGGCTCTTTTTACTATATTTTATATGCTCTTTTTACTATATTTTATATGCTTTTATTTTGTTAAATAAATTTTCGCTGCTATTTATTTTCATTAATATATTTCTATGAATAATTACCAATGAACTCAAAATTTCCAACCATGAGAATTTCGGAAAATTACTGCGAATTAGGAAAACTTATTTGGCCACAATCAAAAATATTAAATTTTTTAACCCTGAGTCATTTGGCTCCTGTGAATTTGATATAAGAAGAGGTTGTCACCGATTTATAAGTATAGAGTTGGGGAAAGTCTAAACCCCGCTAAATTTGCCTCAATCCTATAGACCAGGGTTGCCATGTCTCCCCCCATCAGCGGGAGACTCCCACAATTTTTTAGTTTACACGCAGACATCTCTCTCCCGCAAAACTACCGCAATTGGAAATCTCCCGCAAAAATCTACCGCAATTTTTTAATTTCTCCCACAATTTTTTTTATAGTATTTTAACATTTTTAATATAAAAATAATAATTTTGAGAGACATTAATTGATTATTTTTATATTTTTAAAATAAATTTTAGATATTTATTCGAAAAACATGTCTAGTTTGTAAATTTCTTTCTATCCTGTTTTATTTTTATCCAATAATAAATCAACATCATTAAATTCATATAAGTCAGTACAGGTGTGTATAACAACATCGATTGCAATACAAAAATATTCTCAAAAATAATAAATAATACAGATGCAACTACATTTGCGGAAATCGTATACATCTATCATATAGTTCTCACAGAGCTATATTATCACAATGTGGGTCGAATCTTTTTCTCATGATGTTTAACGACTCCAATATAAGTGCAAATAGAACAAAAAGGAGCATTACTATCATAAGTGTTTTAGCACCAGAATCCTAGAGGTCAACTCTAGAAGATTTGAAAGATGGGCATCCATATGCAATTCTAAAAAATGCATCTAATAAGGGAAATATTAAAACATTCCCTCGATTCTTCGCTATTTCAAAAAGAATAAGAACACAATAAAACTGTTAAAATTATTTCCTCGGATAGTGAAAAATCCAACGATATCACATAATGGTAAATATAGCTGATTCAGGGTTATCAACGATTTGCATGTCAGCTTTCTGCGCTGATAATGTCTCTGTAAATTTTGGCTACCGAATTGAGGCAGCACAATAATGAATTAATACCAATTGGCTGTATATGCCATATACTACATAATTCTTGCAAGAGGGCAATAAATGTACTATTTGTGGATATCGAAATAATTGTGAGGAAATGTTTTAACGAATTTAGTTCATCAACTAAAAGAATTAATGAATTAATCCGGCTGCCCAAGCCTGTCGATGACCGGGGTGTCATCTCTAAGCTCCGAAATTTATCTATACCTATCAGGTGGTTGTCATTAATACCTGCCATCAATAGAATTTTAAAATTTTACAAACCCTTAAACTTCATAAAGATTTTTAAAAGCTGTCCTAAAATTTTGAAAAATTTTTTCGAGTATGAAATGGCAGAAGCATATTTGGGATTCGTTTCACATATAGGAAATCTCACAGTTAATATTCAGTTGCAATCAGAATATTCTTTATTAAAAAAGATTCACAAAATCATGCTACAGCTCTGTTCATCTCTACAGTTAAAAATTGATAATAAATTTTATGGCGATATTGCTAAAAATATTATATTAAAATGTTCAAATAATACTCTAATTAATACATTTTTAAATGAAGCAGATATTTTTATTAAGACAATTTTAGAATATTTACAATCAAAATTTGATTTTAATAACTATTTACAAATGTATAAATATTATGACCTTGGAACAGAAACCATCAAATGATGGTTTTTATAATTTAATAAATATATTAAAAATACCGAAAGTCATTGATATCTTGTTTGAGGGGATTGTAATTCTTTCTATTTTTATGATTCGCCAAAATATTTAAAGTTAGATGGTCTAAAAAAATAGAGGAGAAATGGGTAGAATTTTTATGCTTGGAAAAAATATGCGTTGTCTTCTCCTTACCTCATTCTATTCCCTCATCCGAGCGCATTTTTAGCCTGATGAGGACTGCCTAGAAAAAGGAGAGAAATCGGATTGCCTTAACAACATTAGAGGCCTAGCAAATATATAATATGTCATGCCAGAAATTTTATTAATATCTCAATAACGACGGTAAACTTTTAGTTCTTTTATTTAAATATCAAATAAAATATGATTAAGTTTTAGCAATGGCGCCATAAAATTTATAATCAATTTTAACTGTAAAGATGAACACATCTGCAGCATAATTTTGTGAATCTTTGTTAAGATTCTTCTGATTGCAACTACACATTAACAGCATGTAGTAGATTTCCTACATGAAATCATTCCTAAATACACTTCTGCCATTCATATTAAAAAAATTTTCAAAATGTTAGGACAGCTTTTATAAACTTTATTTAAGAAATATTTTTTTAAAGGTTTATAAAATTTTAAATAGTGATGTTAAAAGTTACTTTTGAAACATAACTAGTTACAGTTACTAGTTACATTGGCAAAAACATAACTAGTTACAGTTACTAGTTACATTTTTACAAAAGTAACTAGTTATTAGTTACAGTTATCTTCAAAAGTAACTAGTTACTTACTTTATACATCATTCATATGCGCATTATTTATTTATTGACATTTATTTAATATAAAAAAAACAAAGTATAATCAGTTATTAAATAATATACAATTTATTTATATAAAAAATATCGCAAAATTGAATATTTACATCGAATACAAAAATATATATTTGCATTGAAAAAAAAACATTTATTTTTCATAAAAATTAGAATCTAATAAATGTTTATTTGCTTTTAACAACAAATTAATTTCAAAGTTATTATCTAGAAGACGTGCTCGTTTATCTCCAAATATGAGCTTACCTAGACTGAACAAGCGCTCTACGGGAGCACTTGATGTTAGAACAACATTATATTTAATAAAGAGTAATTTTAACTTTGGAAAATCGTTATATAAAGAAAACGTGTTGTTATTAGATTTGATAAAGTTTTCTATAAGTTCATTATCCAGAATATTTTGGCGCTTTAGGTCAAAAAATCCAACTACATCAAGTGATGTTGGTTTTGAGCATGATTCATTCGTCTGGGATTCACTCTGAGGTATTAAGGTATTTATTAAATTTAAAATTTCCTCCTTTTTTGCTTTATTCCTTTCTTGCCTAATCCAAGGCCAGTCAGTTTTAAATAAAGGGTGAAGAATTGAAGCAATGATGTTGTCATTATCATAAAGATTATTAAACCTATAACATGATATTATTAATTTATAAATAATTATTTGATTTAAGTTACCTTTTTTCAATACTAGCTAATATAGTATCCTTTAGAGGTTGACAATATTTTAATACCTGCACATCTGCCATACATATAATTATTTGTGTTATTGTTGGGGTATAATAACCCAGATACATGTACTTTTCACCTTCAAGAATATCAATGGCTTTGGACACTGGTCGCATAATCTAATTTTTAAATTGTAAATTTTTATAAGACTTTAATTTAAATTTACACTACAATATTCTTTTATAAAATCACGATCATCTGATGTGAATCTACACAATTTTAATTCATCACATAATGAATCAAATTCCACAGGCACTTGATTTAAGAACGATAATATTTTGGCCAGGGATTTATAAAAGGAACCCCACCTTGTTATAACGGGATATGGGAGTTGAGAATGTAATTTTTTTAAAATAAGTTCGGCAGATGGCCCAGATTTATTTTGGAGGTTCCACAAACGTTGGCATTTAGATATAGCTAAGTTATAAACTTTCCTATACCCCTCATTGTTTAAAAGTAACTTGTTGGCATCTTGTGTTGCCACTAAGTTTAATGTATGGCAAGAACATCTTTGATGCTTGGGAAGGTAGTCGAAGTCATTAATATCATAACTGGAGAGCCCAGAAGAAGACATTATATCTTCTATTGAGATATATTCAATATCAGAAACAGAATCTTCCTCCATTATAATAGATGGGCAGCTAAATACTCTAAGAGAAATAATTTATAAAGTAAATTAGTTAGGCATACCTAAACGCCTTTGAAAAGTTGCTAGCATTATCCGTTATTGTGCAGATATTTTTATTTTGGATATGGAACTCCTTAAAAACAGCAGTTAAGGCTTTGCTGATCACATCATATGTATGCCTACCTTGTAGTCTTTGGCAGGCTAGAATAGCTGAACGCCTTTCCAATTTCTCCACATCAATCCAATGCACTGTTATACCAATATAGGAGCTATTATTAATATAACAAAAGATAACCAAATGTATTGTGCACTTTAGTAAAAAATAATATTTACCGATTAAATGCTGTCCAGCAGTCAGCTGTTGTACAAACATAATTAGGCTCTAACAATTTTTCTATTAGAATATCTTTCATTTGAACAAAATATTTTGATATTCTTGAGGTTAAGGTTTGTCTGCATATAATCTTCATATTAGGTTGCAGGGTGTTTATCAGCTCAACAAAATCTTCATCATCACAGGTTGTATATGGGTGATTTCCATTTATTATATATTTAATAATTTGTAAATCAAATTTATCTTTGCTGATACCTTTAAAATTTGATTTTCCACAAAAGTCAAGTTTAGTTTGTTTTAACTTACTTGATGTGGCTGAATTGTTTTTTTTATTATCTATGGTTTGTTTTATATTTACGGATTGGTTAGGATGCTTTCTCTATAGATATATGTTTTATATATATAAATATTTAATTAATATTAATTATTGTTATAAAGTTAATTCATTTAATTATTCTATATAATATTAATACAATTTATATAAACTTACAGAGATATGTTTCCATAAATTAGCTGTGGATGACTTAGATGCTGCAATATACTTTTTACATGGTAGGCATAAGAGGCATTTGATAATAATATTAGTATTATTACCAGCCTTGTGGTATTCAAAATATTTTTCAAAACTTGGCCAAGGAAGGTCATTTTTTTTTGCAATTATTGTAGGAGAAAGTATAATTTCTTCATCTGACTCAGAATCCATATCCATATTGTATTCTGTTTCTTCCATCTAGGAGATAAATATAAATAGCACTATCTAAATTAGGAATAGAATAATCAATTAGAGTGAAACATACAGTTCTAAAATGTGTCTATTTTATATATAATTTGAATATAAATAAAATTCAGGCTAGACCAAAAAATAAATTTCAGAAAGCAATCATTTTTTTAAATTTGAGTCATGTTCTTATGCTTTTGTTAGACATGGTTCTTGTAAGTAATGATTAATAATTTAATATTAAATTCTAAAATAATCTGTCTTTGTTTTTCCTTATACTAAAAATTTTTTTTTATTACGTATGATATGAAGTTCCAATGCTTGTTACTTGACGGAAAAAAATATATTGTGCTACATTTGTAAATAAATATAATATTAAAATTTATTAAATTACTTGAATTTCCTTACAAAATTATGAAGCCCAGCAGCAATGTAACAATTTAAGAAAAGAAAATCAATTTGAACGGGAAATTATAACAATCAGACATTTTCACAAAATATTAAATTAATAAATTTAATTTAATTAATTTATCACAAATATTAAAAATAAAATTAATTATTTGAATATATCGTTAAAAGTAACTAGTTACTTTAGGCAGTTACATTTCAAAAATTATAACTAGTTACAGTTACTAGTTACAATTTTAAAAATATAACTAGTTACAGTTATTTTTTAGCCAAAATGTAACTAGTTACGTAACTAGTTACCTTAACATCACTAATTTTAAAATTCTATCTATGGCGGGTATTCATATCGCAACCAACATTGTGCTGACTCAATTCTGTAAATACACTCTGTTTTACCAAATTCACTGAGGCATTATCAGATCAGAAAGCTGACATGCAATTTATTGATAATCTCGAATCTTCTATATTTATAGTGATGTTAAGGTAACTAGTTACAAACTAGTTACCTGTAACTAGTTACATTTTGGCTAAAAAATAACTGTAACTAGTTATATTTTTAAAATTGTAACTAGTAACTGTAACTAGATATAATTTTTGAAATGTAACTGCCTAAAGTAACTAGTTACTTTTAACGATATATTCAAATAATTAATTTTATTTTTAATATTTGTGATAAATTAATTTTAAATTAAATTTATTAATTTAATATTTTGTGAAAATGTCTGATTGTTATAATTTCCCGTTCAAATTGATTTTCTTTTCTTAAATTGTTACATTGCTGCTGGGCTTCATAATTTTGTAAGGAAATTCAAGTAATTTAATAAATTTTAATATTATATTTATTTACAAATGTAGCACAATATATTTTTTTCCGTCAAGTAACAAGCATTGGAACTTCATATCATACGTAATAAAAAAAAATTTTTAGTATAAGGAAAAACAAAGACAGATTATTTTAGAATTTAATATTAAATTATTAATCATTACTTACAAGAACCATGTCTAACAAAAGCATAAGAACATGACTCAAATTTAAAAAAATGATTGCTTTCTGAAATTTATTTTTTGGTCTAGCCTGAATTTTATTTATATTCAAATTATATATAAAATAGACACATTTTAGAACTGTATGTTTCACTCTAATTGATTATTCTATTCCTAATTTAGATAGTGCTATTTATATTTATCTCCTAGATGGAAGAAACAGAATACAATATGGATATGGATTCTGAGTCAGATGAAGAAATTATACTCTCCTACAATAATTGCAAAAAAAAATGACCTTCCTTGGCCAAGTTTTGAAAAATATTTTGAATACCACAAGGCTGGTAATAATACTAATATTATTGTCAAATGCCTCTTATGCCTACCATGTAAAAAGTATATTGCAGCATCTAAGTCATCCACAGCTAATTTATGGAAACATATCTCTGTAAGTTTATATAAATTGTATTAATATTATATAGAATAATTAAATGAATTAACTTTATAACAATAATTAATATTAATTAAATATTTATATATATAAAACATATATCTATAGAGAAAGCATCCTAACCAATCCGTAAATATAAAACAAACCATAGATAATAAAAAAAACAATTCAGCCACATCAAGTAAGTTAAAACAAACTAAACTTGACTTTTGTGGAAAATCAAATTTTAAAGGTATCAGCAAAGATAAATTTGATTTACAAATTATTAAATATATAATAAATGGAAATCACCCATATACAACCTGTGATGATGAAGATTTTGTTGAGCTGATAAACACCCTGCAACCTAATATGAAGATTATATGCAGACAAACCTTAACCTCAAGAATATCAAAATATTTTGTTCAAATGAAAGATATTCTAATAGAAAAATTGTTAGAGCCTAATTATGTTTGTACAACAGCTGACTGCTGGACAGCATTTAATCGGTAAATATTATTTTTTACTAAAGTGCACAATACATTTGGTTATCTTTTGTTATATTAATAATAGCTCCTATATTGGTATAACAGTGCATTGGATTGATGTGGAGAAATTGGAAAGGCGTTCAGCTATTCTAGCCTGCCAAAGACTACAAGGTAGGCATACATATGATGTGATCAGCAAAGCCTTAACTGCTGTTTTTAAGGAGTTCCATATCCAAAATAAAAATATCTGCACAATAACGGATAATGCTAGCAACTTTTCAAAGGCGTTTAGGTATGCCTAACTAATTTACTTTATAAATTATTTCTCTTAGAGTATTTAGCTGCCCATCTATTATAATGGAGGAAGATTCTGTTTCTGATATTGAATATATCTCAATAGAAGATATAATGTCTTCTTCTGGGCTCTCCAGTTATGATATTAATGACTTCGACTACCTTCCCAAGCATCGAAGATGTTCTTGCCATACATTAAACTTAGTGGCAACACAAGATGCCAACAAGTTACTTTTAAACAATGAGGGGTATAGGAAAGTTTATAACTTAGCTATATCTAAATGCCAACGTTTGTGGAACCTCCAAAATAAATCTGGGCCATCTGCCGAACTTATTTTAAAAAAATTACATTCTCAACTCCCATATCCCGTTATAACAAGGTGGGGTTCCTTTTATAAATCCCTGGCCAAAATATTATCGTTCTTAAATCAAGTGCCTGTGGAATTTGATTCATTATGTGATGAATTAAAATTGTGTAGATTCACATCAGATGATCGTGATTTTATAAAAGAATATTGTAGTGTAAATTTAAATTAAAGTCTTATAAAAATTTACAATTTAAAAATTAGATTATGCGACCAGTGTCCAAAGCCATTGATATTCTTGAAGGTGAAAAGTACATGTATCTGGGTTATTATACCCCAACAATAACACAAATAATTATATGTATGGCAGATGTGCAGGTATTAAAATATTGTCAACCTCTAAAGGATACTATATTAGCTAGTATTGAAAAAAGGTAACTTAAATCAAATAATTATTTATAAATTAATAATATCATGTTATAGGTTTAATAATCTTTATGATAATGACAACATCATTGCTTCAATTCTTCACCCTTTATTTAAAACTGACTGGCCTTGGATTAGGCAAGAAAGGAATAAAGCAAAAAAGGAGGAAATTTTAAATTTAATAAATACCTTAATACCTCAGAGTGAATCCCAGACGAATGAATCATGCTCAAAACCAACATCACTTGATGTAGTTGAATTTTTTGACCTAAAGCGCCAAAATATTCTGGATAATGAACTTATAGAAAACTTTATCAAATCTAATAACAACACGTTTTCTTTATATAACGATTTTCCAAAGTTAAAATTACTCTTTATTAAATATAATGTTGTTCTAACATCAAGTGCTCCCGTAGAGCGCTTGTTCAGTCTAGGTAAGCTCATATTTGGAGATAAACGAGCACGTCTTCTAGATAATAACTTTGAAATTAATTTGTTGTTAAAAGCAAATAAACATTTATTAGATTCTAATTTTTATGAAAAATAAATGTTTTTTTTCAATGCAAATATATATTTTTGTATTCGATGTAAATATTCAATTTTGCGATATTTTTTATATAAATAAATTGTATATTATTTAATAACTGATTATACTTTGTTTTTTTTATATTAAATAAATGTCAATAAATAAATAATGCGCATATGAATGATGTATAAAGTAAGTAACTAGTTACTTTTGAAAATAACTGTAACTAATAACTAGTTACTTTTGTAAAAATGTAACTAGTAACTGTAACTAGTTATGTTTTTGCCAATGTAACTAGTAACTGTAACTAGTTATGTTTCAAAAGTAACTTTTAACATCACTATATATTTACCATTATATGGTTAGCTATGTCTTTGGATTTTTCACTATCTGAAAGGAAATAATTTAATAGTTTTATTGAAACGACCTTAATTATGTTGAAATAGCGGAGGATCAAGGGAAATATTTTAATATTTCCTTTATTAGATGCATCTGTAAGAATTGCATATGTATGCCCATTTTTTAAACGTCAAGAATTGACCTCCTGGATTTAGGTTGTAAAACATTGATGATATCCTTGTTCATTTTTGTTCTACAAGTATAGTTTTCATTTATATTAGAGTCGTTAAATATTATTGGAAAAAGAATCTACCAACATTGTGATGATAAGTATCTCTGTGAACGTTGTACTACAAGATAAGTGATTACAATTGCCGCAACTGTAGTTGCATCTGTATTATATCTTATATTTAGAGTACCTTATGTATTTAAACGTGATACGTGATAATTAAATCCCTATAATGTTATACACACACACGGTAGATTTCCAATTGCGGTCCTTTTGCGGGACATTCGCATAAAATATAATTTAAAATTAAAATCGTTTTTTTATAAAATTTTATCTTGTTTACATTCTTTTATATTTAAAAAAAGATCGTTGGTTTTTTTTATAAATTAATATATTTTAATAAATCAAGATGTTATTTTATTTTGAAAAATAGTTACCGACTTTGTATTTATATAAACTAATTATAAAAAATAATAGGCAGATAATTAAGTCAATTTTAGCAATTTATATTTCTACCGCAATTTTCATATTTCTCCCGCATAATACCAAATTTCTCCCGCAATTTGAAAAATTTTGACCTGGCAACCCTGCTATAGACACGTGATAAGGAATATCTGCCCGATTAAAAATAGAGCAATTACTCAAATATTCTTATTGACTATTATTAAATTGATTTATTTTATAAAAAATGTGTAATTTCGCGATATAGTTTAGATTAAATATTTTATGTTAATCTTTGTTATAAAATGTCTCTAGGTAAATGAAAATATCGTGATTTATATTCTTTTTTAGGTTTCCAATGTATGTTGAATCTTTCCCCATGAATTTTTAGTTTCGTTAATTCTCGGCCCTGACCTTAGTAATATCTAAAAGGAAAATGTGATTTATTTATAATTTAAAAAAAAACTTTTTATCTGAAAACAATTTTTAGATTGATACTATAAATATTTAAGATATTATTGGAAATGTATATTTATCATTTCTGATGAGTATTTTTTTAACAAATATATTGTATCAATTTTTTTTAAGATATCCAATATTTTGAGTATTAATTTTGTTCCAAGTTGCTTATTTAATCAAATAATTATATATTAAACATTTTTTTCTATAAGAATTAATTATTTGTTCCAATATACTGGTGCATCTCTTAATTATCTTTCCTAAATGAAATTGAAAAATGGGTGAAAGTAATAAGACTGACAAGTAATTTTTCCCATTTTGTTTTAATATTTTAAAATAATTGCAATTTAAAATCGTAACAACTTGGTTACAAGTCAATTAGTTATAACCGTTGAATGATTTCTTTGCGCGCCTCTCTGTCCGACCTCTTTTTTATAAGTTTGGCTGGAGGGCCCATATTTTTGATTCAAAACAATTTATCAAGGTATTTAAATAATAATATGGAAATTCTATCTTGTTCTAGAACCACATGTACTAACTAATATGGTATAAATAAATACTGAAATTAAATATTAGAATTCTATTTTTAATTTAAAAAAGACCTCATTTACGTTTTATATTTCTAAATTGTATATCATGATAGCCGCCTATATTCAATAAGAATATGCCTATTCCAGTTATGCAATCAAATACAAATTCCAACAATCAGCAACAGCAATATAGTCGTTATGACCAAGAAAGATTTCGAGCTAATAAAGGTAATTGAATTATGAAACTCAAAATATTATGTTCTTAATATTCATTGCCCATTATTGATTAAATTATTTATTCAGAGACCTGGAGGCCCGTAGCTTGCTGCAAAATATTATAATTTTTAAAATAAATCAAATTCCGGCTGGGACTAAGAATTTTTTTTTTATAAAATTGTACTGAAGCTTGATAGATTTTTTAAAAAAAGAACATCAAATTAATCAGTTAAATAATTATAGTTCAATTTAACATTTCGTTCACTGCTCATGTTTTGAATTTCTCTTTGGAACAATTTGAATAACGAAAAATTTTAAAATCTAGGCCAGGCTTAAAATAAAATAATCAAAACAGGACTTGAAAAAAAATAATTTTTTTCCAAATTTGGTCCTGTAAGGCCTTTGATTATCAAATTCTTTTCTTCTTAACCCTTTATGTTCTGAAAAAATATTGATTTTCTATATTTTAAGTTTATCTAAATTTACAATAAATATACATTATTTTTAAAATAATCGCAAAGCAGAATATATATTTGAATATCATACTATAGTTTGTATGCATAATATAAAAATTACCTTCGTTTGCTTTTTCGTTTATTTTTGCATGAGTATATGATTTGAGCATAATTTTTATATCGTATTATTTGTATTTATCATTAAGATTATTTGAATATAATTTAAAATGTTTCAAATGTGGGAATATCATAGAGGTTTCCGATTTCAAGATCGACACTATGGGAACTTATCACGGGATGACATTGAAGTCCGTATCGCAGACGGCGTCCCATAAAAGACCTCACCATCTTACCCCTCTTTCTGCAAGAATTACTGATTCCCCCTCAAAAAAACTAGCCAATATTCAGCTCCCCAGCGCTTCTAAAAGAAGTCTAATTATTTCGAATAAACTTTAGTTAATTAAATCACTGAGTTGAAATTAAATAAATAAAATCACTGAGTTAAAATTAATGTTATATGAGAAAATATTTAGGATTGGTAAAATTTAATTTTTTTAAAAATAATTTTATCTCTACCCATTATTTCTCTAAACCTTTTTAATATTAGTATCCTAAAATACGATTTTATATCCATTTTTATAATTTATAAGTGTCCCGGACTCCCATAATTATCATACCTGCAACTTCATCCTCATTAATCACCATGATTAACGCTAAAGACATTCTTCAAGATTTTAAGTACGTTTTATCTCTATAGCATACAATGTAACGCTTAATAATCTTGGGCACCTTAACAATTTCGGCGATATTTTTTTTGTCTTATTAAACTCGATAAAATAAACACCGTCTATTTTGAACTAGGAGCCGAACTTATATGTATAAAGGCGGTATGGAGTAGAGGTGTACCTTTCAGATTTTCTACTCGATCTGGATACAGCCGGCTACTTTTTTTGGGAAATTTTTTAAACTGGAGTGCTCTTAACTGGTTCCTGGTTGATTTTTGCTAGATACATTGATATAGATCTTTGAGGGCGATCAAATTCGACATCTAAATTTTTTAGTATATTTATTGATTAGTTTAGTAAAACTTTAATGCTACAATGTACTGTTAATTATTTTTATAACACTATAATATTTCATGTATTTATTGTTGTCAAACGGCTCGATTTTTAAAAACGGCTAATCCAATTAGCCAAAAGATATTATGTAAGCTTGGAGATTTTGCTCATAGATGGCAAAAAGGTTTAGACATTTATTTATTACTTAATTTAAAATCGGCTAAATCGAGCCGTTTAACAACACTATATTAGACCTATCGGTTTCATGTGAACTGTTATTCTCAGTAGGGACAAATATGATAATGAAGAATAGAATGTATGTGAAGGAAGAAACCATTAGAAAGACATGTTTAAAAAACTGATTGTCAAGTTTGAATCTAGCATAATTATATTTTTTTCTGTATTATATTCTGATGTTTATAAAATGAGATTATTGTGCATTTAGAAAATTTTAATAAAATTTGAGAATATTAGATAGAAGAAATAACGTATAGGGGTAATTCCATGACAAATCGACCAGTGATTCGGCCGACCATCTCAAAAATGAATGAAACTTGGCATGTTAGTTATATAAGTTGTAAATGTTAATAAAATCAAAATTTTAGAGTGCTAGCTAAATCAGATCCAAAGATGTACCCCTTCAAAGTCGAAAATCGCGAAGTGCCTGATTTTATTAAATCTTGTTTTTTTTTAAAAAATACTAAAGATAGAGTTACAAATTATATATCATTTTATAGCCCTTAAAATATTACATTGGGAAATATCAAAAAAAATTTAAAAAATTCAAGTTGTTTTATTATTTCCGGTAAAAAGAAAAAATTAACATTGTGAGGAAGGGATTTTTTTTGGGTGTTGATATTCTCTATAATTGTTTATTACCTTTATATTAAACGATTTAATAAAAAATCTCGATAGCCACTTTTGTTTTTTTAATTTTATTATTTTTATTAAAAATTTTATTTTTATAAATAAAAAAAGATAATATAGATGGCGTTATATTAAAAAGATTTTATAATATAATATATTTAATTAAAATATGTATTATATAGGTATTAAAATTAAACAAATCGATTAAATATAACCAACATGATAACCCGGGACAATAAGTAAGGAAGCAGCCTATACGGATATAGTTATATATACAAACAATTATATAAAACACCACTTGTTTTAATCTTATCCCATTTTGCGCTGAGGCGATAATTTGTAGGTACGTCCTGTCACTGTTATGGAATCTATAATCGTTATTATTTGATTAATGGGGAATTATTCTTTTCCTCAATTATGGGGTAAAAGAAGGAGGGTAATGGTTCATGGAGTGTAAAAAGGAAAAATATATCTCCTCAGTAATTTCGTTCTTTTTTAGTACTGTGGCTAACTACCAAATATCGTTATAAACACATGTTACGAATCCTTTAATATCAACAAAAGAGAAATTATCAACATTTGAGATATTATTAATTTGAAAGCCCTCTTCATATGAATATTTTGATTTAAGTTTACTTAAACTCAAAGGAAATACAGCAGGTATTTGTTGTATATGTAAAATTTATTAATGGCATGTTTTGTTTTGCAAACTGATATAAATCAACTGGTGTTAAAATGTGTCCTGAACTTGTGCGCTGAAGGCTTGAACGTGCTGCTAATCTTTTAATGTTCTGCCAAGGCCGTCATATGGATATTTTCCATGGGATGTAGTTGAAAAATGTCATTCAGCTTCTACACCATAATTTGATTCAATAACAGATTTATAAAAAAAATTATTTTTATATTGTGCAGCTGTTTGTCAGATAAGTAATATATTTTACTTGGCTTTTTGCTGAATTGATTCATCAAAAAAATAACGATAGTTTATACACAACAAGTAAAAAGATATATCTACAAATTATAGCCTCAGAAATTTCTATTAATTAGCGCAAAATGGAATACGATAAAAATAAGATATGTTTTTATAATAGTTAGAATAAAAAATTTTAAAATATTTTACAATATAGCATCTTAATAATAATCATATCTGTATGTATTGCCCCAGGACATCATATTTCTTATACTTAATCGATTTTTTAAATTTTAATATTAATATAATATATATTTTTATTAAAAATATAATATTATAATAACTTTTGAATATAACTCCATCTATATTATCTTTTTTTATTTATATAAATAATAAAAATTCAAATAAAATTAAAAAAACAAAAATGACTCTCGAGATTTTTATTAAATCGTTTAATAGGAAGGTAATAAACATTTTTAGAGAATATCAACACCCAAAAAGAATCCATTCCTATGTTAATTTTTTATTTTTACCTGAAAATAAAAAAACACTTGGAATTTTTTAATTTTTTTTGATATTTTCCAATGTAAAATTTTAAGGGCTATAAAATGATATATAATTTGTAACTCTATATTACATTTTTTTTAAAAAAACAAGATTTAACCCTTTGAGGCCCAACTTTTTAATAATTTAAATAAAATTCTTTTTCTATAAATTATTCATTTATACACTCCATAGATGCCCAAAATGTTTTCAAAATTTTATTTTTAAATACACAGGTAAAAAAAAATGTTGATGCAATTTGACATCATCAGGCTTATTGTAATACAAAAAAATACAAGTATCTACTTATTATAAAAATCACCAAAACAATTTCTATATTGATTAAAATATAAATATATATTATATTTTGCACATTTTGTTCTGGAGTATGCATTTATGCATAACTTGTATCTTTGCTCCGTTTTGCAGGAATTCTGTCAATGACCAATGTTGTCATATCTGATATCAGATATAGGAGCCATTATAGAAGAACTTTTTTTTAAAAATTATTGTTCATTCAAATGTATCTATGATTTTCTTTTACTAATTTTGCCTGCCGATAACAATGCGTTGATAATATATGTTTTAAATTTGATAAGTTTCATGAATTTATTCTCTTTTTCATGGCATATTTGCCGCCTATACAAAAAGCCATGAATTTACTACATACATATCAATGAAATGAAAAATGATTCTCAGGTAGAACCTTTTACCTTTAGTATCTATAGCATTCAACAAGCATATCATGTAAATCGACTCCTCCCATACTTCATTATATATTTTTAATATATTTGGTTGGCACTTCAATATATCTACTTAGTGACCATCTTTTTACATTTTATATTGGATGGACACCGACGACGTGCACAAACTTATTGTCATATCATTTGGCAATAATATATTTTCTTTTTTATCAACTTTACATACATAGCTCCCGACTTATCTCTAATTCTGATGATGTTGGATTAGTTTAATTTCCCACATAAATCTTAAAATCATATACAATACCGTATAAATTTTGTTAACATATATTATTTAGTATATTATCTGAAATAAATAATTTAAAGTAGATATGGAGTTAATATATTGGTTTAAGTGGAAAATGTATTAGTATAATTTGTGTCCAATTGATGGATATCACCTGCTCTCCATTTCATATTATTTTGGATGATAATATTATCATTATTTTCTGGATCTTCTATCTCGACTTGAAGATTATTAGATGTTGGTGTTGATGAAGTTGAAGGAGAATCATCTTAAAAAGTATGCAAAATATCTTCTTCATTGTCTGATTCATCGATGTGGTCTTCCGAAATGTCTCCCTCGACTAGTATTAAATTATTTTTCATCTAATAATTATACAGATTCATTTAAAATATAATAAATGAGAGGAAATATGTCTTATTAACGTCAAATTCAAAATTGGTGTGGTCTGATTGGATTTAGAATATGGTGAAATATAATTATAACTTTATTATAAATATAAAATAAAATAAATGTTTAAAAAAGGTATTCTAATATCCCTATGACTTAGGCATCATGCACTTTAAGTTGATATAAAAAAGAGCATATTCATTTTTAATAAAATAATTATTCATGACATTATACTCTTATCTTTAATAATGAACAAAAAATTTTGAATTATTAAATATTATCCACAGAATTCGTTATATTGTCATTATAAAATCATATAATTCAATAAAATGGTAAAGATAAAATTATGAAAATATGATTGGATGAAATTTAAAAATAAACATTATGAGTTAATAATTTTAATAAAATACGAAAGTATTTTTATTATATTTATATTATATAATGTTAAATTAAATCTATAGGCTTTTATAAATTTAAAATATATAATTATATTATATGATAAAACAAATCGTGAGACATCAAAGGGTTAATGAAATCACGCACTTTGTGAATTTCCACTTTGAGATCTGATTGAGCTAGCACTCTAAAATTTTGATTTTATTAACATTTACAACATATATAACTAACATGTCAAGTTTCGTTCATTTTAAAGATGGTCGTCCGAAAATCTCGTTTTTTTAGTCGATTTGACGTGGAATGACCCATAGAAAAGAATTTATATACTTTTATAAGCAATTCTAATTCCAAAAATCAATTGTCTGGCCAATTATTCGGATAACGTTATGAAATCCTTAGTTTTATTTCGTTTGTTATTTGTAAATTTTAATATGCTAATGACAATTAGTTTTTAGTAGAATCCTAAAAGGAGTCATTTTAAAATACACATCTGTTTATAATTTTTCTTGCAAAATATGATCTATTTCTTATAAGCTTTAGAAAAATTTTCGAATCGAATGATAATTTTATTAATCGTGTGAATACGAATAATAATGAATTATTTGATTCGTACAAATACGAATGATTCGATTCTTTTTATTGTACGCCTACACTATATTTATCTATTCCATTATTAATAAGATTTTAAAAAACATTTTAAATTTACTTTTACCGATAATATTTTAATAATAACTCCACTTGTGGGGTTTCATAGTATTAGGGTTGGCTTATAAAAATCGCGATTTAAATTACCCCGAGTTAAAAAATAGTCAGGAATTTAAATCAATATTTTCAATTTATATATTAAATTTTATATAAAATATTTTATAAGTTTGGAATAAATCAACTTTAAATGATGAAATTGCTCTATCCTATCTATTGATGATGTAAATAATTGTTCTTGAATGGGTCAGATCTTGCTTGGTATTTTATCAAGATAGATAAAAGATTGGTGTTGGATCGAGATTCGCTATATTCAATTACTATTTCGGTCATTTGAATTTGAAAAATATTTTATGTTTTGAAGATAATGAAATGTGTTGACGTTTAGCTTTTTACTTGACAATATAATTATATATTTTTTTCAACAATTTCCTGACTGGGCTCCCCTGAGGCATTAATCCTTTATTTGTAAACTAGTATAAACTAAGGTAAAATATTATGATATTTTGTAATCTAGATCCATAATCCTCCAATTAAAATATTTGCAAAATCTACAAAAAAATTTTATCCAATCAATCAGAATTTATTTTGCTTGGAGATAAGTATTTCAACAGATGGAACCCACATAAAAAAAGTTACTAGTAGTAGATTTGGAAATTTTGGATTAGCCAGCATTAAGATGATTCGGTTAATTAGGAAGGGATCATCCTGTTAAAAGCTAGATTCACAGAAAATTTTTTAACGAACTGATAAAATCGCCGCAGAAAAACTATCAACGATAGAAATATCGCCGTCGTTTAAGCAAACACTCGATTTTAAAATTTAGTTTTAAATTTATCAATGTATATGGAAGTCCATTTTTTACTCACTTTCTATTTTTATCTATTAGTCCATATTTCTTCACACCTAAATAAATTCGTAATCTTTTAAAAAAAATTATTTATAAAGTATAAATTTTTATGACGAACTTTAACCTAAACCGTTTACAAATTGAACTTGAAGATTGTATCACAATTCTTTTAAAATGGAACATTAAAATGCCCTAGTACTCTATTGAGGCGATTCAACTTTTTTATTTGTACATAAAATGTATTAAGGTATTTCAGTGATGAAGAGAAAAAAGCTGCTGGATCTATAAGGGAGAATGACGTTTTGATTCAAAGAATCAAAGACGGGGGACTCTCTTTCCCATACAGGATCATCGACAACCCTCTCAAACTTTCTGCTCAAGACTGGTATTTTTATTTTAAAAATATCTTCATTATTTGTTATTTTTAAATATTTTTTAAAATTATGTCATTTAATTTAAGTATTGAAAATGTTATATTAGAATTTGGAACTGGGCTAAATACACGAACCAGGACTTAAAAATCTCTTTTACAGGAATTTAAACGACTTTAAAAAAATATCCAGAAACCTTTTTTGTGCAAATTCTAAACTCTGATTATAATTTAGGATAAATCGTATAGGATATAATTAGTGCTACTATATTCAAATTGGATGCGAATAATTTTTTTAATATTTGATCGTTATTATTCGTATTCAAATAATCTTATTTATTTATACAAATATTAGTCAAATAGTAAAATAAATATTTGAATAATGTTAAAAAATTTGGTTTCCACATCCTCATATTGCAAATGAGGCAAGAATGGATCATAAACCATATCATAAATGCAGATGACAATTTTAAAAGAATTCTCTACCAGACATATTTTATTCCGCCTCTGACATCAATTCATTTTTATACTTAACTTCATATACTAATTTTATTAAAATTCATTTTTTAATAATAAAATAGGATATTTTTGAGTATATGATGATTCTGGTCGTAAATCAATTTTTAGCTTTTAACCATCCTATTTTTTACAATGGTGTAATATATAATAAACTTTTAATTATTTGAATAAATGAAATATTCGATTCATAAAAACAGGGTAATAGAGACATAAATATTTGCATCCCTTTTATTTATATTGATACACCTGTAGACACTTTAGAATTAAATGTGCATGCTTGACATCATTTTAAGAATATAAGCTATTTTTATTTATTTTTTTAAATTAGGGATAGGGTTGTTGCTGTTTTTGTGCAAGGTCCTGCATGGCAATTCAAAGGATGGCCTTGGGATGGTAATCCCGTTGAAATATTTTCAAAAAGTTTGGATTTATCATTTATTTATTTTATTACCATTCTTTAATTATAACTATGTGGGTTTTGAAGTATCTTGAGCTTTCGCCTTTGGTTGAGAGACATCCAACTCTTCTTCCACCGTATCTTATAAAAATTATTCACCATTTTTTGACGATAACAGAGGAAACAATTACATTTTTAGAGAATAAACAAATTACTCATTATAAAACTTGTCTTGGTGATCATATAATAGATCACTAATTCAATTTTTTGACAATTTATTTGGGGAGATTTCAATTAACAAATTCAGGAAGATTACATTTAAATATCAAATTTTATCTATTTGCTGCAATCATTAAAAAAATTGGCATTATTTATTTTATTCCCTCATTTTTAAGGTTAAAATTTTGTGTAACTTTTTATTTTAATTTTGGCCAGTAACAATTCATTGATTAAACTTATGTATTATATCTTATATAAATCTAAAAATACCTTACAGAAGTAATTCTACTCATAAAACTAGTTTTAGTGAGAAGACATCAATAAATCATGTTAAGCCTTTTGCGATGAATTGATTTTTTATCTACCATGCCAAAAAGCAATAATTCCCCTTCCCCTCCGTGATCTTCAGGTGAAAAGGGCGATCACTAGTTTATTCGATTTTTTGATTAAGTTAACAAATGGTTGAACCAATGAGATAGGCCATGGGAATTTTGGTCATTTTAAAAAATCTGATATTTTGCTGGTTTGTAGAAGAATTTTGTGGTACTCAACCTAACCCTCACCACTAATATTTATTTAATATATATTCTCTTGCATGATTTAAATTATTTTTAACGATATATTGTTTTTGAATAGTTAAGGCATTCCACTTGAAATGGGAGGAAATGAAACTAGATTCTAACGTTGCCAAATGGGATGTTCATGTCATCCAACTTAGCCGTAACAAAAGACATTTGGATAGGGCTTCTTTATTAAAGTTTTGGGAAGTTTTGGATAGGTAAATTGTTTTTCTTGTGACATTTAATTTATTTAAAATGATATACACTTATTTGGCACAAATTATCTTTAATATTTTACAGCTGTTTTCAAATTTATTTCAACTATATTACGAGAATTAAGTTTTATCATTAATATAATTCACCTTTAATTCTATGCATATAGATACACTGCTAAGAATAAACCTCATCTAAGGACATGAACCATTGAAATATCTTTGAACGAATCTTTGTTATTATAAATATATTGTTTTTTATAGGAATATTATTATTGTTAAATTCAAATATATACCGAAATAAAATGTGTTATATTTTGAAAAATGATGAGATTCGAAATTTACAAATAATTCAAAGCAAAACAAAATGGACGAATAATAATTTATTAGATTAAGGACAGGGTATATAGGCAGGCATCAAAATTAATTTCATATCTACATCATATTTATAAATAAATCAACTTTCTCATGTATCAAAAAATGGCCGTGCCAGGGCAATATGATGTCAAAATTGTCAAATTTTTGAATTTGATGTTTTAATTAAAATTTGCATAAAGTAAACATTACTCATCTTAAATCTTTTTCCAAATGCTTGCTTCAGTTCTTTCAGTATTAACAATAGATTTTCAATTTTGGCATTATGGAATATTTTTAATATTTTTAGGCCATGTGACTGTATTCAAATAGATTTTTATGTCATGCAATATCTAGATATATTTGAAAATTATCTTTTATACCTTGAACCCAAATTTTTCAAGAATTTTAACCTAGATCGAAACCGATATTCATAAATCGGGTCCTGTTTGGTGCTCTCATAATCTCTCCAAACAATTTTAAATTTGAGAAATTAACATCTAGCAAGCAACCTAGAATTAGTATTAAGCAGATATGGTTTAAGAATAGTTTATATCTTTAAAAATGGATTTATTTTGAAATTCACATTTTTTTAATTGTTTTCATGGAATTTATTTAGGAAGGAATATTTTCAGGGGAAAAATTTTCCAATTTAATATTTTCCTAGAAATATTTATATTTATGCTATGAATTCCGCGGAATAAATTTTCTGGGAAATTTTTCCTTGGATATATTATTTGTGATTAATCGAATCTGAGATAACTGTGCGGCGATAAAAAAAATTGCTGGCGGCTTGTTCATATCGATGGCGGCACGCTAAAAAATTACCGAAAAGTATTCTCAATATTTTCCTTGTTCGTTTAAAAAGATTGATATATTTGTGACAACTTTTACTTCAAATAAAATTTTAGATCTTTTTTTTTTATTTTACAATACTAAAATAAATTACTAAATATTAAATAAACAAATTTTCCTAATAGGTATTTTTTAGAGTTAGGATAGTACCAAATCTTCCTATTTTGAATATGACCGGTTCTAAATAGTGGGTTGTTTTTATAATATATTCATGTATATCCGGTATAAGACTCGGCCGGATAAATAAATATAATTTGCATCCAATCCATCTGATTTGTAGCCAGACTTAGCAATATTGGTAAGAGTACATTGGATGATATATTATATAATGCATCTATAAAAGCATATATTTGTGAAATAATAATGGTCTAAAATAAGTTTTGAAATTCCTATTCATACTTTTCCTAAAAGTCCTATGGGTGGAGGAGAATAAAATAGTACTCTCATATCAATATGCTTTGATAATTAGATATTTCATAATCTTTTTCTCACAGTCTACTAGCTTTACAAGAATAACAGAATATAATAACTTTAAAATATACTAAATCAGCAAAAACAAATAGTCAAAAATTAACTTTGTCAGGATTTTTAAATTTAAAATATCCGGAAATTTTAGTAGTCGATGACTAATGAATTGATTGTCAATTTTGTTATTAAAAGTCAAGCCTCTGAGTGTTGATGAAGATGGGAAATTTATTAGAACTACAAACCCTTGCGTCTTTGTGTACCTATTTTAACGGCTATAATTATCGGATTTAATAGAATATTTTTTAAGGCTTTAAAGAAAACTAAGCTTTTATTTTGCACATGGGCAGTAGCGTCACAGGGGGGTGGGTGGGCATGAGCTCGAGCTTCCTCATAATTTTGAATATTTTTTATACCACTTAAATAAATAGGTAAGATAACTAAAAAAAAAGTAGTTTTGGAATGTTAGTTAAAGAAAAGCGGTATAACTAAAAAGCAATTAATCATAATCAATCAAAATTTGATTATATGATATTTTTTTAAAAATAATTTTCAGAAACATATTTTTTAATGTACATAAATCAAATTTTTATTAAATAAAAAATTGAGATTAAATATCAAATAATTTATAATTCTATTTTTACTTAATATTATTGGGAAAAATTTACTAACTTAATACAACTAAAATTCAATTTTAATATTTAACAAATATATATCCATAAGAGGGCGTTAAATGCATATATTTTAATATATCCTCTTAGGATACCAGAAGGATTATTGGTTAGCACTTTTTTTTACATATATGTGTAAATACATGTGCCTAAAATTTCTTAAAAAATGATAGGTTTCTTCGACATTTAATTAATGAGTAGGTTTAGAATAGAAAACTTATATGGCACATATTGCTGGCGTTATTGATCATAATCTTTTCATTTTACGTTTATTCATGTATATTTAGGTGCTAAACATTATCCTAAAAAATATTATGATTTGACCGAATGCCGAGCTCAAAACCGATAACCTACTAAATATTCGATTGACCAAATTTGCTGTAATATTAATTGATTGCTGGCGTTATCCAAAGAAAATTTTTTATTTGGTTTATATATGTACATATATGTGGTAAGTATTATCCTAAAAAGTATTCTGAAAAAATTAATTTGACCGAATGCCGAGCTCAAAACCGACCACTTACTAAATATTCGATCGACGAAATTTGCTAGTAATAATATTAATTGGAAAATGTTCATTTTTGTTTTATTTATCTATAAATACGTGTATTATCCCAATAAATATTTTAAAAATATCGTGATTGGACCGATAACCGTTTGAAACCGAAATACTGCCATGCTGGCGTTATCCATGGGAAATTTTTTATTTTTGGTTTATACGTGTATATATACGTGGTAAGCATTATCCTAAAAAATATTGAAATTATTATGATTTGACCGAATGACGAGCTCAAAACCAACCACTTATTAAATATTTTAATTATAATAAATTTTTAATGCTCCAAAAATTATAAATCATATTTTTATTTTAAAAATGTCTGATTTTCTGCTATATTTAATTAAGTATGTAATATAATTAATAATTTATATTAAATTTTTATTATTTTAAACTAATAGAGAAGCCATCTCCTGAGATGACTCTCGAAATTTTTAAAGAGATAAAAAGCGAAGTTATTGTGTCTATGATGAATCACTCTTCAAATGAATTAGTCGGACACGTTGATGAAATAACTACGAATATATTAGATTAATTTGGTCGATCGAATATTTAAGTGTCGGTTTTGAGCTCGGCATTCGGTCAAATCATAATTTTTCAAAATATTTTTTAGGATAATGCTTACCACGTAATACACGTACAAACCAAAAATGAAAAATTTTCCACGGATAACGCCAGCAATGCAGTATTTCGGTTTCAAATCGGTGTTATCGGTCAGATCACGATATTTTTAAAATATTTTTTGTGATAATTTTTTACACAAGTATTTATAGATATATAAACCAAAAATGAAAATATTTTGATCAATAACGCCAGCAATATGCACCATACAAGTTTTCTATTATTTTTCGATTCTAAACCTACTCATTAATTAAATGTCAAAGAAACCTATCATTTTAAAATAAATTTTATGTTTTTCACATGTCTAAATATAAAAAAGCGCTAACCAAAGATGATATAATTTATATTAATGCATTTAACTCCCTCTTCTGGATATATATTTGTTAAATTTTAAAATTGAAAATAAAATTTGAGTTGTAATAAGCTAGTAAATATTATTTTTTCCAGTAAAATAAGTAAAAATAGAATTATAAATTATTTGATATTTAATCTCAATTTTTTATTTAATAAAAATTTGATTTATGTTCATTAAAAAAAATGTTTCTGAAAATTAAAAAAATATTATACAAATTTTGATTGATTATGATTAATTGCTTTTTAGCAATGCAATATTTACTCATACCCAAAAAAAAGTTAATTTTGAAATTAATCTAGAAAATTTTATAAGCCCTCCATAATTGCAAAGGTTAACGACCCCCCACAAACAATGAATAATATCTGAAGCGAATAATCCAAAACAATCATGATCATTTTTTTAAATGTGAGATTTTTATTTTTACCTTAACTTGTTTAAATAACAACCTGTTAATATTGATTTGCAAAAATAATAAAATTTTTATATTATCATTTGTTGAATAGGGTACAAAAATATCTTCATGATATCCTAGTTCATCAGAATTTGATTGTAATCTTAAAATCAAATGTGTAAATGCAATGTTTAAGTATTCAATATAATATATGAAAACAAAATTATATAGTATCTGAAAATGTTATTGAGAATTTATTATTTCGTGTATTATGAATGTTTTATTTGTGGGAAAACAAATAATATTCACTGGAGATTATATTTGACTAAGAAAAACGAGAGCTGAATTTATCGTACATTCTTTTTGACATGATAAAATTCATGTATTCCTGAATAATTTAAAGAGATTTTCTATCAAATCTCAATCATAATTAAATTTTTTGAGCTTATATCTTTCCATTCCATTTACAGGCTAGCAATCGTTTGTTCCAAGAATTTTTTTAGTTATGTTGTCTTTTATCACTATTATATTGTCACCACAACTATCAGATTCAAATCGCTGATAAACAGGAATTTTTATTATTCAAGTCTAAGATATTTGTTTTTATTCTTTGTTGCAAAATTTTTTGAAATTCGTATAGGTATGCTTATAGTTTTGCAAAACCAGTTTTTAATAATTGATCTAAAGTTAAAAAATAACATAAAACACACAAACTATCCATACCAGCTTTTTCACATTGGCTATAACTAGAATATGCAAGCCATGTCCAAAACATAAGTAGTGTTCATATAACCTGACACTTCATTATATCCTGCATCAGTGACCATTAAAATTTTTATTAGAATTTAAATTAATACATCTTCTATATCAATCTCAGAAAGTATGGTTCACTATGTTTTTGGGTTAAATATTCTGTTAAAGGTATAAAATCCAAAATCAAACACTTTTTTTTATTAGTCCCAAAATAAAAATTTTTTGTCCGCCCGATAGAAATTAATTATTTTTTTGTTTTTTTACTATTAGCTTTATGTTT